GTAAAATGCCTTCGAGATTTAACCAAGTTGTTGCAAGTATCAATATCATTCCTTCCATTTCCTGGGTAATATTTCATTTTATGAATGTACTGCAGTTTGTTTATCCGTTCACTCATTGAATAACATTTGGATTCTTACCATATTTTTTTTATAAATAGAGCTGCTATAAACATTCATGCATGAGTTTCTGTGTAAAACATTTTTTTCTATGGTCATTCTTTAATATAATTGTTTTGGATATTCTAGATCTATTGCACTATCACATTAATTTTACAAGCAGCTTGTCAGTGAAGTGGAGCAACCTTATTCCATCAGGCCAATGCAGATTGCTGCCAGTCCTGAGCCTGCAGGCTCCTGCAAAAGTACAGGTCACAGACAGGCCAGCCATCATCTGCCTTGTGCCCACAGACCCCAGTGATCCACCCAGGAGACACTGGAGTTTGAGCTGGCACCAGGGGACTGCCACCAAAAATCTCCCTCATAAAGTACAAGCTGTGATCTGAGAGCTACTGCCTGCCCACAATGGGTGGCCTAGGAAAAGTGCAGGGAGGGGTTGGCTGCCTGGCAACAAACCCTCCATGGACAATTTGTGGGACGGGTGGGGTGGAGTTTCAGAGAAACACAGGGTGGGGCTAGCCGATCTCACCAGAGCAGTGTAGCTGCAGAATTGGCCATGTGGAAGGAGGGGTCAGTACCGGCAAATTGGCGCCAGTCTATAGACTGCTCTGGAGGGGAGCTTGACCAAGGAGCAATGATGGCAGTCCCTCCAGGCCTCACTCTGGTGCCACACAACTCATTCTCCACTGTATGTCTCTTGTGCCGCCTGAGCTGCTGACCCTTTACCGGGGTCCAGAGTGAGTGTCTATGAGTGAGTCTGTGCGCAGGCCCTTTAAGGGAGAAGTATGGATTTTCAAATGCCTTCCGTCTCACTCAGACAGTCAGAATCCCCATTGCTTTTTACAGCCAGATTTTGTGGGGACTTTTCTTCCTTGTACTGGAACCCTGGGCTGGGGTGCCCCGGTGTGAGACTGGGACCCCTTGGTCCTCCTGGGGGACCTCCACAGCTGAGATATCCTTCTCGATGCTCAGCTGCCACATGTAGGTGCAGAGCTAGCCCATTTTCTGTCTTTGTCCCTCCTACCATCCTTGATGTGGCCTCCTCTTTATATCTCCCTGTTAAATTTATTTTGAAGTACTTATGCTTTTTTATATTATTGTAAATGGTATTTTAAAAAATTCATCCAATTTTGCTAGCAATATATAAAAACAACCATTTATTTTTTGTATATTTTCTTTGTATGCTATTTACTTAGGACATTTACTTATTATTTCTAGTATTTTTCTTTGTAGATTCCTTACGATTTTCTATGTAAACAATTATCATTTGCAAATAGAGACCATTCTATTTCTTATTTTCTAATCTTCATGCCTGTTTTTCTTGTCTTATTACAGTGGATAAGATTTCCAGTATAATGTTGAATAGAAGTTGACATCAAGGGCAAAGTGTTCAATATTTCACTATTAAGTATAATATTAATGGTAGGTTATTCATTGTGTTTTTTGTCAGATTGAGGAAGTTAAGTTACCTTATATTCCTACATTGCTGAGAGGTTTTGTCATGAACGGGTATTGACTATTTTTAAACGACTTTTCCAACAGTAAAAATTCTCAAAGGGGTTTTCTCCTTTGCTATATTAATGTGGTGAATTGCTTGATTGACTTGTGAATATTAACCTTTCTTAAGTGGTTGATAAAATTCTCTTGTGAAACTATGTAAACGTGGAATTTCATAACAAATTCAATTTCAAACAAAGGTTTTCATAAGAAATTCAATTTCATCAAAAAGAGATTCAATTCCAATACAATATTTATTAGGGCAGAAAAGGATAGTCATACAGTAATATCCATAATCACATGATCTTTGAGAAATGTTTTTTTTTTTTTAAATTAACTGTTCTTTTAAAAAATGAAAAGCAGTTTGATACTCCTGGGAAATAGAATTGGCTCAAGTAATCAGGCCTGAGGTCAGGGTACCCATTATGCTGCAGAACTCCCACTTTTTACAGGTTCTCTGAGCATTGCTGATCTCTCAATCATTCTTGCTGGATCTAAATAGAAAAATGGATATCATTTATAAGTGTCAACTGACCTAATAACTGCTTATACATTAATATGTAAGAGTTTGGGAGAAAATAATAATAGTTACCCTTGGATCAGCACCAACCATGTGCCAGATGTTTTAACAACCCTATGAGGAATATTAACATTTCCATTTTACAGATGAGGAGACTAAGGCTCAGTTAAATTAAATAACTCGGTAAGATCACATTGGCATATTGGACACAGTCAAGATTTGAACTCAGGAATGGCTAGCTTAGAACTCCATATTCTTTCTACTACACTATATTTTCTCTGCCCCTTCCTCCCACAAAGATGAAGACAAAGGAGATGCAAAATGATCTGGATTCAGGAAATGTTCTGAGGAACACTTCAGGCCTGACACCTCTATTTCTTATTTTCTAATCTTCATGCCTAAAACTAAATCTAATTCGTGAATTTTGTTTTTGTTTTTTAACTTGACTGATATATTTTTGTGTGATATGTTGAAAAAAAAAAGTCCATAAATGCCCCCATCTCCACCTCCAAGAAGGGCCTTTTGCAAAGTGTGTTAGGCTGTCTTGAGACTAGTTCAGACAAAATGGACTTTCAAGGATCTCCCCAGATCCTGGCACTTGGTTGAGCTCTCTTCGCATTCCTACAGGATGAGCATATGTACAAAGATCAGTGCCCGTCATTCCCACCAGTGTGTGAGTTCGTCGAGGGCAGGGGATACATCTTTCTAGATCTTTGGATGCCCAGTACCTAACTCAGTACCTAACACAGAGCTTAAAGACTTAAGAACAATGATTTGGCTTTACAGGTCTATTCCTCAAGGTGTATGAATGTTATAAAAGACAGAATTTACCATAGAGTATAATGTTAGATGTTGGTTTGTCATACAACATGTGCCGTATTATGTTGAGGCACGTTCCTTTTATACCCTATTTATTGAAAATTTTTATCATGAAAGAGTATTGAGTTTTGTTAAATGCTTTTACTATGTCTAATGAAATTATATAATTTTTTCATTTATTCTATTAGTGTGGTGTATTGTATTTATTAATTTTCATATATTGATCCATCCTTGCATTTCACTTGATCATGGCATCTGATCCCTTTAATATGCTGTTGAATTTAATGTGCTAGTATTTATTGAGAATATTTGCATTCATATTCATTGGGTACATTGATCTGTAGTTTTCTTGTAGTATCCTCTTCTGGAAAAGGTATGAGGGTAATAGTAACCTCATAAAATAATTTTAGGAGCATTCACTCCTCTTCATTTTTTGGAAGAGGTTGAGAAGGGTTGGTGTTAATTCTTTAAATGTTTAGTAGAATTCACCTGTGAAACAATCAGGTTCTGGTTTTTTTTTGTTGTTGAGAGTTTTTTTTTATTTTTTATTTTTTATTACTGTTTCAATCTCCTTATTCATTATTTCATATTTTCTATTTCTTCATGATTCAGTCTTGATAGTTGGTATGTTTCTAGGAATTTATTTATTATCCATTTCCTCTAGGTTACCCAATTTGTTGGCATATAATTTTTTATAGTAGTCTCTTATGATCTTTTGTATTTGTGTGATGTCAGTTATACTGTCTCCTCTTTCATTTCTGATTCTATTTATTTGAGTATTCTCTTTTTTTCTTAGTCTAGCTAAAAGCCAATTTTGTTTACCTCTCAAAAACCCAGCTCTTAGTTTTGTTTATCTTTTCTATTGTTTTTCTGGGTTAATTTCATTTATTTCTCCTCTGATTTTGGTTATTTCCTTCCTTCTGCTAACTTTGGGCTTAGTTTGTTCTACTTTTTCAAATTCCTTGAGGTTTTTAATAAATTTGTTCATGATCTTTTTTTTTTTTTTTTCTTAATGTAGGTGTTTATCTCTATAAACTTCCCTCTTAGAGCTACTTTTGGTGCATCCCATATGTTTTGATATGTTATGTTTTAATTTTCATTTGTTTGAAGATTTTTTTGATTTCCCTTTTGATTTCTTCTTTGCCCATTTGTTGTTCAGAAGTATGTTGTTTAATTTTCACATATTTGTGAATTTACCGGTTTTTCTCCTTTTGATTTCTAGTTTTAAACCATTGTGGTCAGAAAAGATACTTGGTGTAATTTTAATCGTTTTATATTTGCTAAGGCTTGTTTTACGACCTAACATATGATTTATCCTGGATAATATTCCATGTTTGCTTGAGAAGGTTATGTATTCTGCTCTTGGGTGAAATTTTCTGTTTATCTCTGATAGGTCCATTTGGTATAAAATATAGTTCAAGTCCAGTGTTTCCTTATTGATTTTCTGTCTATATGATCTATCCATTGTTGAAAGTGGAATCCAGTCCCTTACTATTACTGTATGTTGTCTATTTCTCTCTTCAACTCTGTTAGTATTTGCTTAATATGTTTATGTGCTCCAATGTTGGGTGCATAGATATTTACAACTATTATATTTTTTTTGATGAATTAACCTCTTTTACATTGTTATAAGTATAGCTACCCCTGATCTCTTTTGGTTTCCATTTGTATAGCATACCTTTTTCCATTCACTTGTTGCCTATGTTTTACCTTAAAACTGAAATGAATCTCTTGTAGGTAGCATATAGTTGGGTCTTATTTTTTATCCATTCTGCCATTCTCTGCCTTTCAATTGGAGAATTTCACACATTTACATTTAAAGCAATTATTGATAGATAAAGACTTACTAATGCCATTTTACTAATTGTTTTCTGGTTGGTTTTAGTTTCCTTATTCCTTTCTTCCTCTTTTGCCATTTTTTTCTCTGTGAATTGATGATTTTTCATGATAGTATGCTTTGATTCCCTTTCCTTTATATCTTGTGTGTCTACTATAGATTTTTGCTTTGTGGTTATCATGAAGCTTACATAAAACATCTTATAGATATAAAAATATAGAACACTTCACAAATTTGCATGTCAGCCTTGCAAAGGGTCATGCTAATCTTCTCGGAATCATTTCAATTTTAGTATATGTGCTGCTGAAGTGAGCAGCATGTTTAGTTTTTTTTTTTAAGAAACTGTTTTTTACACTATTTCTCTAGAGTGACTATATCATTTACATTCTCAGCAGCAATGTATGGGTAATACAGTTTTTCTGCATCCTTGCCAGTATTTGATGTGTCTGTTTTTCATTTTAGTCATTATTATAGGTATTATATGGCAGTATCTCATTGTGACTTTAATTTGCATTTCCCTAAAGGATAATTAAGTTGAATGTCTTTTTCATGTGCTTATTTGCCATCTGTATATCTTCTTTGTTGAAATGCCTCTTGCCTAGGCTCTAATTGGATCGTTTGCTTTTTTTACTCTTGTGAGTTTAAAAGTAATCCTTTGTAAGTTATGTATTTTGCAAATATTTTCTCACACTGTAGCTTGTCTTCTCATCTTCTTAATAGGACCTTTTGTGGGGCAAAAGTTTTTAAATTTGATAAAGCCCTAGCTACCTATTTCTTCTTTTATGAGTTATACTTTCAGTCTTGAGTCTAACTCTGCCTAGTACTTGATCTTATATTTGTTTCTAAAAGTTTCATACTTTTACACTTTATATTTAAATTCATTATCCATTCTGAGTTGTTTAAATAACATGTTAGACTTTTTTTTTTTTTGCATATATGAATGTTCAATTTCTCCAGCACCATTTGTTCCTTGTATTGAATTGCTTTTGCACCTTCAAAAAAATTAGTTGGGCATATTTGTGTGAGTTTATTTCTGGGTTCTTTATTTCATTGATCTATGTGCCTTTCCCTCTGCCAATAACACATAGTCTTGAGCTACACAGTAGCTACACAGTAAGTCTTGAAAATGAGTAGATTGCTTCTTCTCACTTTCTTTTTCAAAATTGTTTATGTTATTCTAGTTCCTTTGCCTTTCCATAGATTTTTTAGGATAATATTGCCTATATCTACAAAAAGAGTTTTTAGAATTTTGGTAGAAATTGTGTTACACCTTTGTATCAGTTTGGAGAAGAATTCACATCTTTACTCTATTTAGACTTCCAATCCACAAACATGGTATGTCTCTCTACTTATTTAGATTTCTTTGATTTCTTTCTTTAGCATTGTATAGTTTCAGCATACAAATTCTGTACATGTTTTATTATTAGATTTACACTTAAATACTTCATTTTTTGAGTGATTGTAAATGTTATTGTAGTTTTAATTTTGGTGTCCATGTAGTCATTATTAGTATATAGAAACACAGTCATTTTTTAATACAATCTATTTTTATATGTTTATCTTGTATCCTATAATTTTGCTGAATGCACTTAATACTTCTAGAAGTTTTTGTAAGTTCTTTGGAATTTTCTATGTAGACAATAGTGTTATCTGTAAATAGTGACAGTTTTATTTCTTCTTTTCTGTTCTCTCTGTATGTACGTATATATGTATATATGTATGTATGTATGCATGTATGCATGTATGATCTATCATCTATCATTTATTTTATTTTATTTTATTATTTTATCTTATTTTGCATTATTGCACTGGCCAGAACATGCAGTGCTATGTTAAATAGCAGTGATAAGAGCATGTTTTATTCCCAATCTTAAATGGAAACCAGTCTTTCACCATTATGTATAATATTGCTTGTAGGGATTTTATAGATACTCTTTATCAGGATAAGGAAGTTCTGCACTACTTGTATTTTTCCAAATGATTTTGTCATGAATGATCAAGTACTTTCCTGCATAATATCATGTGATTTTTTTCTTTAGCTTGTCAATGTCGTGAATAATATTGTTTGATTTCTGAATAATGAACCAACTTTGCATCTCTGGGGTAAACCCCACTTGATCATGGTGTATATTTTTAAAATATATATTTCTGAGTTCTATTTGCCAATATTTTGTTAAGGATTTTTGTGTCTGTATTTATGAAGAATATTAGTTTTAGTTTTTTTGTACCATTTCTGTATGGTTTTGGTATCAGGGTAACACTAAATAACTAAATTGGGAAGTGTTTCCCCTTCTTCAATTATATAGAATTGGTGTTAGTTTTTCTTTTAATGTTTAGAACAATTCTCCAATGAAACTACTGGGGCCTGAAGACTTCTTTTGGGGGGAATATTTTTATTAGAAATTTAATTTCTTTAATAGTTATAGGGGCATTCAAATTATCTTTTCCATATCGGGTGAGTTATGGTAGTTTCCATTTTTTATGGAATTGGTCCATTTCATCTAAGTTATTAAATCTACATCTATAGAATTATTTTATAGTATCTGCTTATTAATCTTTTATGTCTGTAGGGTTTGATAGCATTCCTGATATTGGTAATCTGTAGCTTTTCTCCTTTTTCTTTGTTATTCTTACTAGAGGTTTTCCAATTTTATTAATCTTTATTGATCTTTTAAAAGAACCACCTTTTTGTTTTACTGATTTTCTCCATGTATTTTTTCAATTTCATTGATTTTTGCACTTATCTTAATTATCTCCTTTCTTCTTGCTTTCAAATTTTTTCTCTTCTTTTTCATGGTTCTTGAATGAGAATTTTGATTATTAGTCTGAGATTTTTCTCTTTTCTAATGCATACATTTAGTGCTATAAAGTTTTCTCTCAGTGCTGCTTATGTCTCATTATTTTGATATTTTGTAATTGCGCTTTCATTAAATTCAGTGTACTTTTAAAATTTCTTTCACAAATTTCTCTTTGACCTATAGGTTATTTAGAAATAGATTTAGTTTTCAATTGTTTGGAGACTTTCTTGTTATCGTTCTGTAATTGGCTTCTAGTTTTATTCCATTGTAGTCAGAGAACACACTGTATGATTTAAATTCTTTTACACTTTTTTGAGGTTTGCTTTATGGCCCAGGATATGGTATATGATATATCTTGGTATATGTCCTCTGGGTACTTTGAATAATAAGTGTTCTGCTGTTGTTGGGTGGCGTGTTCTGTAAATATTAATTCAATTCTCTTAGTTGATAGTGGTGTTGAGTTTTTATATATCCTTGCTAATTGTCTAATTGTTCTAACAATTGTGAGGCAGGTATCAATTGTGAAACTCTAGCTAAACTTATGGATTTGTTTCCATCAGTTTTTGCTTAACTTTTTTTTTTTTTCAGCTCTGTTGTTTATGGATAGGATTCCTATGTCTTCTTGGCAGATTTTCTTTTAATCATTATATAATTTCCTTCTTTGTCTCTGGTAATTTTTATTGCCCTGAAGTTTATGTTATCTAATATCAGTATAGTCACTTCTGCCTTCCTTCGATTAATATTTACATGATGTATCTTTTTCCATCCTTTTACTTTTATCTTCCTTTTATGGTATTTGAAATGAGTTTCTTATACAAATGGTTGGGTCATGTTTTCTAATCCATCTGCCAGTCTCTGTCTTTAAGTTGGTGTATTTAGATCATTTATATTTAAAGCTATTATTGATATATTGGGGCTTAAGTCTGCCATCTTTTTGGATTCTATTTTTGTCTCCTTGTTTGTTATTTCTTTTTTTTCCCCTGACTTGCTGTAAATTACTTGAAAGTTTTATAATTCCATTTTGATTTTTTTTTTTAGTGTATTTTTTTGCATAGCTTTTTTAGTGGTTGCTCTAGTTGTTATTTGGAACATTATATATTCAGAACATCATAGTCTATTGGTGTTATCACTTATCAATTTGAGTAAAATATAGAAACCTTGCCTCCCTTTACATCCCTTTAATCTCACCCATTTATAATGTAATTATTTCAAATATTTCCTCCAGACAGCATTGTAATTTTTGTATCAACTCTCAAACATAATTTAGAAAACTCAAGAGAAGGAAAATTATTGTATTTACTTATGATTTTGGTTATCATGATCTTTCTCACTTTATAATGTTCCAAGATTCCTTCTTTTATTGTTTCCTTTTTTTATAGAAATTCATTATAGTCATTCTTTTAGGGAATATCTGATAGGAACAAATTATCTTAATTTTCTATTATCTGAGAATATCTTGATTTTCTCTTCATTCTTAAAGAATATTTTCTTTGGGTATAGAATTCTGGGTTGATAGTTCTTTACTTTCAGCATTAGAAAAATACTATGCCACTTCCTTATGGCTTCCATGGTTTCTGATGAGAAATTTGCTACAATTTGAATGTTTTTTTCCCTCTTACAGGTAATGTATCCTTTCTCTCTCTCATTGCATTCAATATTTTTTCTTTAGTTTCCAGAAATAATTATAATATGTCTTAAAATGGATTTATTTGGATTTATCCTGTTTAAAATTTGCTCTACTTCTTAAATCTATGGGCTTATGTTTTTCCAAATTTGGGACATTTTTAGTCATTGTTTTCTTCAGCATTTTTTTGGTCTTATTCTCTTTCTCCTCTCCTTTCAGGACTCTGATGAGATGAATGTTAGATTTTTGGTTATCATTCCATAGGTTTGTGAGGCTCTGTTCTTCCCCTTACCCCAGCCTACTTTTTCTCTGTTGTTCATTTGGGTAGTTTCTATTGTTGCATCTTTCAGTTCATTGATTCACTTCTCTGTTCTCTCTATTGTGCTGTTGAATCAGTTAATTGAACTTTTTAGTTCAGTTATTATATTTTTTGGTTCTAAAATTTTCTTTTAGTTCTTAATGATACCTTCTATTTCTTTAATGAGACTTTCTATGTCTTTGCAGAGGTTTTCTATTTTTTAATTTATTTAAAGCATATTTGTAATTTCTTACTGAAGCATTAAAAATCTTTTGCTATATTATATTTTCTTCATAAACTTTAATAGTACTTTTGTACACAGGGGTTTAATGTCAATACAGCAAATTTAGTGGCAGAATTCTATTACACTATACATATTAGTTACACAAATGATATAGATTTGAATATACTTAAAAATTTTTAAAGGGAATAGAGTTAATATTTCTCATATCGACCTGCAGAATTTAGTTTCTAGGCTAGTAAATAGGCTGGATGTTTAAATATGAAGGTTTAAAAAATAACAGTTATATAGCAGTTGTCAATTTGAAGTTGAAAAATTACTTTTGAAGAAATAATTGACAATTGATTCTTCCTGG